TCATATTTTAGAAATTTTCTTCCAAGAGCAGCAACTAACTACATTGACTCTTACGTCCCCCATCAAATTTGGAGGAAAAAATAAAGAAAGAAATTAACTACTTATTTCACCTGTGATAGAACCTATAGTGACCTCTTGTGGTAAATATTAACTACAAAGCTTTGGTGAACAATACAACCTTTTCCTAGGCTAGACTCTGGAGAATGGAAGCATTGTTCCTCCAAGCTAGCAAACAGCTGTTATTAACAATGAAAGTAAAAGATAAACATTGACTAAACTAAAGGATTTCTTTATGGAAATCTACTCAGTCAACTATTAATTAAAATAACCATAACTACTGCCTTCTATTTAAAAATAGTATTCGTTTAGTAGGGCAGTTAAAAGATGACTAGTTACATGATTTCTTACACATCCTACTTCTGGAATCAAGCAGAAGATAGACAAAGAGGGCAATTTCTAGTGGAGCCGGGGTGTCCTGGGATTAGCGGTTCTGTAGTCAGCTATCTACTGCCATCCTTATAGAATGCTGTGCGAGCACTAAAGCAAGAGACCATCCTCTGGTTTCTTTGTAAATATAATCTAGGGAGTGGTCAGTATAATTTCAACCTCTACGATATTTTAAAAGTAAAAGCAGTACATTACAAGACCGGGGTAAACCAATGCTTAAAAAAACACTGTGTGGTTTTATCAATATTTCCTGAATAGTGGCTCAGGTGTTGAAGAAACACTTTCAAGAAAAATTAGGGGGAGGGGGAATTTGTCTCTCAATCTTTCTTTTAAGTTGGATAATACTTTAGTATTTCTTTTTTGTTTTGATTTTAAATCACAAGTTCTCTATTTCCTTTCCTATGGGTTCTCTTTTAAGATTTCAGCCTTTACGCATATTAATTTTAGCATAAGAAGCCCTGGTGGCACATTGGTTAAGCATTCAGCTGCTAACCAAAAAGGCTGCATTTCAAACCCACCAGCCACTCTGTGGAAGAAAGATGTGGCGGTCTGCTTATATATTTTCATATATTTTTTCAAAATGACATCTTAATTTGCTGTTACCCAAAGTAATCATTTCTGCTCATTTATTAAAGAATAAAAGACAAAATATGAATAAAATATGTTGTCCAATTGCAACCTAAAATTCCACCTAAAAGTTCTAAAAGCTATTGCTTTCTTTCAGGTACCCAAAAGTTTACTGCTCCCTACAGCTAATTTATGCTGATGGATAGCATGCATAAATATTGAAAGTTAAATAGGGAAAGATATCCTAAGAATATTCCAGACACAGATCCATTCAGCAAGTACTTGGGGCAGGAGCCTTCTAGCAGACGTCAATCAGATGTACTGAACTCACCTTCCCAACCTTTCCTTTCCTAACAAACCAAAAATTTACCCAAATCTTCCTATTTTATTTACACTCTTGACCTTTACAACTTCTTAGAGTAATAATGTGCTCTCTACATTTATTGGAACTACACGTTGAGAATTATTATAATTCCTTTTATGTCTAAAAAATGATCTTGTATTTTATCTTAAAACTAAAGAGGAATTCCCTACAACTATTATTTGGGGATTTGGCTATAAAATATGGGTATTTCCATCCTACTCCATGGCTCTCATTATTTTATAGACTTGAATCAGCAGTAACAACTCGCAATGCTTTCCCATAACAGACTGAGTCAACTAAATAAGGAAAAATAAAAATCCAATCTCAAGAGGTGTAAAATAATAGCGTGCATACTATACTTGCAACTCTAGGGTACAGAATACATCACTGCTGTTCTGCAAAATTGCAACTGAGGGAGTTTGAAACTTTATTATGAAATCTTCAAGTTTAAAAACTCTCCTCAAACATGCCACACTTCTTGCTCTTTCGCTCTACATCATGAAGAAGTTCTCTGATGGATTTCTAACTGGCTGAGATTTCGGTTCATTAGCGATATCCATGGACAAATAAATGCCTGATGTTTTCTCTTTACGTCCATTTCTCTTTTATGCCTAATATCTAATGTCTGTCTGTGTGGGGGCGGGGGTTGTATTTCTGTCTCTTTCTACCTCTCTCTCTCTTGCTCTTTGTGTGTGTATTGAGAGACAGAAACAGAGAAAGAGAGAGTCATTGCGTCTTCCTCCGTATCTGTCTTTGGTCTGGTTGGATGCCTGCCTGTGTGTTTATCTGCGTGCTTCTGTCCATCTCTTCATACATGTTTCTGTATCAGTCTGTCTCTTACCATAAGATCTGATATTTTCATAAGAAGAAAATGATGTGAACGTCAGAAAGAGAAGCATTCCATGGGGTAAAGGTAAACAGACAATTCCAGCCTCTGTTTCTTCAATTCTTAAATATGTTGTGAGCACTGGCTCCTTTTCTTTCTCTTACCACTAAAGCTCTGCCAATACTTCACTCTCAATGTTGTTAAGTTAGTGAATAGTGAAATCCCCACTGTGACAAACCAGATCCATCTTTGAGAATCCTAAAGGGAGTTTTCTCTCTTAGCTTCAACTAAACAATTTCTCCTGATGAATTTTTCTGTTTCTCTGCCAAATCATATGGAAATGGCAACTACTGTGGGGCACTTTCATGTGAATGTACAGACCAACTTAATACTGTAATTTGCAATTTCCGAGGTTCTTCCTATAAGAGGCCCTGAAATGGTCCAGTGTTGATTGCATACACATGCACAAATACTCAAGGCAACTATCTCACGTTTCAAACAAATCTCAGCTGCGTGAGTAGTAGTGTTAAGAGTTAGCCATAGGCAGTCAGAGGTGGCATTTAACGTGCCAAAACACACACAATTTCATTTCCACTTAGTGTTATCCATGGAAAGAAACATTCAACCAATGAAGCATGAACTGTAAAAAAGATAAAATCTGCATTAACTTAGATGTCAAATAAATCTTCAAGACAGTAGATGTCAAATGGAGGCAACAGAAGAAATATTTCTAAGCTATATAAGGAAAGATTTTGTTTCATGGTATATCTAAAAAGAAAAATTTTCAAAAAACTGGCCCATACTGCCAGTCTGTACAAGAAGTTTCAACCAAACATGCTATATTAGTAAACTCCAGTCAAAGGATTCTCATTTTCTTCCTCTTCACCAGGCCGCGCAATAAGAGCCCACGGATTTTATTTTTTAAGGCCTTCTCTGAAAAGTCTTCTCACAAACCAAATTGCATGGAGATAAAATAACCCAAGGGGATGAGAAAGCTGAAATAAGACTCCTATGTCTTAAATAGCTGATTCCAATAAACTTTAAATTCCCCCAGATTACTGTCTTAACAGTAATTTCCCTTTGCACTCCAGGTCTATGTACAATATTAATACAGGAAGTTATTGTATAAATATAGAAATTGCCTGCCATTGTGAATTTATATTTTATATTATCATAAAGAAGAGAAAATACATATGAAGTCACACTGGAATGGCTAAAAAACATAGAAGGGACTGAAAGTATGAATATTAAAAAACATATTAGACCAGGCCTATTAGTTATCTTCTTCAACCCAAATAAACACTCGGCTGCTCTATAGTTCTTTGGTGTCAGACATGGCCAAAGTGAAGGAAGTAAAGTCAAGCTTCAAATGAAAGCCAAATACCAAGTAAAAGATTTAGGCAAAACACTTTGGGTCACTTAGATATATACAGCCCCAAAGTCAGGGAAAATATTTGCAAGCCTGGTTTTAGAAGAGATCCTAGATCTAAGCAGTTGTATAATCCAACAACTCAGAGAAAGCATAGTCTATTTAATTATTTATCATTTGATTGTGCCTCTGTATCTCCCAGAGGCAGGGAGCTTCTTGAGGACAGCGGAAGTGTCTTAATCACTTTTTTATCCAGAGTCTTACAAAGTGGCTGGTTGATATGCACCAAGTAAGCATTTGTTTCAATGAATGAATAAACACTGAATTATAGAACCATATAGAGTATTTTCATTGCTTTGTCCCAAGCACTCCTGTAATCCATATGCAGAAATGGTTTTCTCATAATTCTCCAAGCAACAGATCTCAAAATAAAATAGCAGACCTCTGAAGGAAAAACCTTGAAATTTTCAACATCTTGCTTAGGAAATTGAAAATTACATAAAAGAATTTAAAAAAATGGAAGGTGTAGATTTCAGAAAATTCAAAGTTTATAAGGTCTTAAAAGGTGAAATAAACAACCATTCCCATCCAAAATATCTTGGAGGAAATGAATACATAAATGAATGGTATTTTAAAGACTCTTTTAAGGCAGGATAACCTTAACAGCGTAGCACAGGTAGAATGACATTCTTGGAATTCTTTCGGAATGGACTCCAAAATGGGTTGCTTTAATACCACAGCAGCTATTGACTCACTTCTACATTTCTCCTGTTTAAGTCAAATCAAATATATCATATAGACCAATACAGACCAATGCACATAAAAGAAAGAAACTTTAAACACAAATTTGACCATAGTAATTGTTATTTTATCAAGCACCGACTCTTCCTTTCAGATTCCACTCCAGCTACACTCCCCAGCACAAAGTTCCCTTCAGCGGTGCCCACAGGGGTCAAAAGTCTTTTCAGAGACTTAAATCTTATTAAGTAGCCACTTTCATAGCCATTTCCAACTTGAGGGAAACCCTCCCACGGAGACTAACTCCAATAATTTGGTAGTCCCTGCAGCCCACTTGGGGCAGAAATGTTGGGAGAATGATTAACAAGAAACATAGCGCTCACCAAAGCTAAACTCCACTCTGTTCTCCAGATGTACCTACACCCTACTCACCCCCTTCGCTTCCTTGCCTTCGGAGCTTTGGACAGGTGGGGGGGGGGCGAGTACCTCTTGGGGAGGAGATGTAACTAACTTTCGCCGTCACCACCTCGTTCCCACCCCGAGGCCCCACATCAGTTCCGACTAGTAACTGAAGCCACCAGGTAACGCTGTCTGCGTCCCCCTCCCCCCTTGGGATGGGAATGAGACGGTGGGGAGCGCGCGTAGGCGGGATGGAAGTGAGAGTGTTCCCGAGCCGAAACTCCTCTTACCACTGGAGCGCCTGACGATGTTCTCCAAAAATGTGTTCTGCGGTGCCACCAACCCTCTCTTGCCCCCCGGCATCCTTGGTCTGGAGAGCGGCGGCCAGGATCCGCGGCGGGGGAGGGGGGGATGCAGGAAGTGAAGGTGGAGGAAGAGGAGGAAAAGGTGGAGGAGAAGATCGAGCCGAAAGAAGAGGGGGCGCGGCGGCGGCGACGGGGTCCCCTGACTGTGTCTCGAGCCCGAACCGGATGAGCAGCTGTGGGGAGGAGGACCAGGCAGTTCATGGTAGTAGCGCTCCCCCGGCCGCCGCTGCCCAGACTGTGGCGGTGCCGCACAAGGAGCTCGGGAACTGCAGGCTCCGCGGGGCACAGTGCGCCTGCGCCGCCCCCGCTGTCGCTGTCCCGCAGGTGCTGATGCTGAGGCTGCTGCCGCGGCGGCGGCTTCCTGGGCGCGGGCTCAGCATTTCTCCCGCGGCCCGGTGCCCTGGGGCCGGGGGAGCGGGAAGAGCGGACTGAAGCTCCCTCTCTCCCAGCCCCTCTAAGTCCAGACCGAGACCACTTGACTGAACCTTTCTCTCTCCCTGCTCTTAACCCACCCCTGTCGCGCAGCTGGATCGCAGCTGCCCAGAGAAGCCAAACTTATGCCCGGCTGTGCGCCTGGTGGCCGCTCCTCTTTCCCCGGAGATCGAGGCAAGCGCTCGCTTGTCTAGTAGGGCTGCGGAGTGGGAGAGGCAGCGGAGTTGCAGGCAGGGGAGCAGGAAGGGCAATGGGCAGCCAGAGGGGTTCCGAGCCCCGGCAGCTCCCGCGGACGCGGCTGCCGGGGCTGAGATGCTGATGGGCTCCGGCTGAGAGCCGAGCAGGGACTGACTGAGCGGCGCCCGGGGACGCAGAGCAGCCACCTGACGCTGCTACCGCCCCCCTCCGGGCTTCGGCGCCCGGAGCCTCAACAGATGAGCTTTCAGCACCCCCGCCCCACTCGACACCCGGGAGCCCAAGTCAGATAGGGACGCAGCGCACAGCGGACGCCCAGGATCGTCCCCGCGCCCAAGGCTGGGTCTGGCGCGCAGGGCTGCATGCGGAACTGCACAGCGGAACTTATCCCCAGGCTGCCGAGCGCCGTAGGCGTGCGGAGGGGCGGGCCATCGCTGCAAAGTTGCGAAAAAGGTTGCACCTGACGTGAGGATGAGGGAGACTAATTCACAAGCAAGAGAAGGAGAGTGCGGCGCATGGAAAAACAGTGAAGGTGGTGAGGGCGAAGCTGCTCAGGGCTGGGGCGGGGCAGGAATCGTCTCTAACAGCCCTCATATCTGCTCGGGACCGTCGACCGGAGTGGAACCACTAGAAGTAGAGTATATAAATCGGGGTCTGCCACGGAAAAGGGAAAATGGCATAAGTGAGGAGAGAGATGGAAATAAAGGGGAGCCCACCCCAGCCGTGGCACCTTCGTTTATCTAAGGCAGTAGTTCTCAAAGTGGCCCAAACTGGCAGCATCAGAATCACTTGTTAGCAATGCAAATTATCAGGCTCTACGAATTGACTCGACGGCAATGGGTTTGGTGGTTTTTGTTTGGGTTTTTTGTTGTTGTTGTTTTAACTCCAAAGAGCCCTGGTGGCACAGTGGTTAAGCGCTTGGCTGCTAATGGAAAGATCGGTGGTTGGAACCCACCAGCCATTCTGTGGTAGAAAAATGTGGCAATCTGCTTCCGAGAAGATTACCCAAAACCAAAACCATTGCCCGTTCAGTCGAATTCCTACTCATAGCGACTCTATAGGACAGAGTAGAACTGCCCCATAGGGTTTCCAAGACTAAATCTTTAAGAAAGCAGACTGCCATATCTTTCTACCGCGGAGCGGCTGGTGAGTCCTAACCGTCGACAGTTCGACCTTTTGGTTAGCAGCCAAGCGCTTAACCCCCGCGCCACCAGGGCTCCTTCCATAAAGATTACAGTCTTGGAAACCCTATGAAACAGTTCTTCTATGTCCCATAGGGTCGCTATGAGTCGGAATCCACTCGATAGCACGCAACAACTGAATCAGAAACTCTGGACGTGGGCCCAACAGTTGTTTTAACAAGCCCTCCAGGTGAATAGGATACACGCTCAAGTTTGAGAAGCACTCATCTAAGGGTGCTCCTCTGTAGACTCCACCTGGGCGGGCCCGGAAAGCAAGGGGTGTGAAAAGTACCAGGGGTGGGGGGACAAAAAGTGCGCTGTGGCAGGGTCAGCGGTTTGTGGCCTCGAAAAGCGTTGAGTGAGGAAGGCGAGAGGAGAGTTGCATAGGAACGTCCCCTTTTGCTGCTGTCAGAATATGCTAAGGGCTTTTTAAGAATTGATCAACGCCAGGTTATCGAAAGCAGAGGGAGTACCCAGACTGGATTAAAGTAAATATCTGTGCTTGGAGACCCGCGTCTGACCTTGTTTGGAGTCCCCTAGACCACCGTCTTCCCAGAGCACCTGGATTAAGGGCTGTTGCCTGTGGCTAAGCGGACAGTTAAATGCACAGCTAGGATCCAAGCTTTAGCTTAGGGTCCTTTTTCTGCTCTCTTCTCTGAAATGTCCACCCACTCGCCCAAAGTTTAGGCAGCTGAACAAACTGAGAAGGTTGAGGCAAGGCAAAGAGAGTTTGTTCTGCTAGGATTCTTTCTACAAAAAATTTAGACTCGATCCAATAACACTTGACTAATCTAGCTTTCGATTCTGAACACCGTTGGCTTATCCCTCCACAGCGCACGTCTTTTAACCGGCACTGGGGTGCCCTTCGTTAAATAACAAGGGTGTCAGGCGCAGATTGGATCCTGTGATTCGCCCATCACCAGCAGGAGTCAGTGACTGAGGTTACAGCTCCCACCCTGTGGGTTGCCGGTGTGTATGCAGGGAGTGGAGCTTGAAGCCCCTCCCCGCCCCAGCCTTAAACATATGACTGAATCTCCCCCCTCTGATCGGTTTTGTATGATCTGTTTTTTAAGACCAGGCTAGTACACAGACAATGCTCCTAATCAGCCATTCAAGGCTGGGTGGCAAACAGGCAGGCTAATTTTTTTCTTTTTTTTAATATCTAAAATTCATAGATTGCTATGCTAGACTTCTAACGTGATATGGTAATTCCATCATCATCCCTAACAGGGAATATTTCAAATCTATATGTTCTTTTGCACATCGTCAGCTGCCCACATCTCGCCTCTGGGTATTGATATTAAATCTCAGCTTCCCAGCGTGTCCCATCTAGTATAAATATCCCTGTTCCTCATCATTCCTCTGTGGGTGTATTAGCTCACACTTCCCGAAGAGGAAACTCTTTTGGTCTCCATTAAGACACAGTCACACAACTACTGGTAAGACTTCCCTGTTTATTTCCAACTGCAGCTCTAATTAAAATTACATTTATTCTTTCTTTGTCCTCAATAATTATGCAGCATTCTAACTTTAGGATTATAATAAATTACTGTAAAAAAATTGCTGGTTATAAAGTGTCAAATCATTGGATTATAAATTTATCTTAATCTTTGAGTTTAGGTTTTTCATTTTATGGAAGGAACAGAGACCCAGAAAGATGAAGTGACTTGTTCAAGATGACACCATCTTTTGAGGCTGGACTAAGACTAGAATCAGGTCTCCTGACCCTGTAGTCAGAGCTTCTTTTAAGTAATAGAAAATAACCTTATCTTGAGTTAGTGCGGTAACGAACCACCACACCCGGGGATCACCATTGCCAGTGATTTTGCAGCATTCAAGGGAACAGAAACCCCAGCAACAACTTGAAACAGCTCCCAATCAAAATCGGCTTAAGGAAAATAGAGCAGCACCATATGGACTAACTGGCCCTAAGGAAGGTGCTGGCAGATGGCAGCAAGGTGCCAATACAGCATTTTAAAAGTGTTTTGCAGACAGGTGCATATGTTGTGACCAAACCACAGGATTTAACTGGTGAGAGAGACAGAAATCGAAAAGCTCCAATGTTTGCTTGTTTTGTTACAAAGTTGCCATTTTAAAGCAGAATCATTTGTCCTTTTCTTCTGTCATTTGTGGTATTGTAATTAGAGTGCCTTAGTCTGCTGGAACCAAGAGTTCTCACCCCCAGCGGTGCTGACTCCCGAGTCACAGCAGAATGAAAGCTAGCTGGATCGCAGGTGCATTACACTTTAACAGCAACCAATATAAAAGTGAAGACTTAGAAACTGATGTATTTGAAAGTGATGATTTGTAATTGTTATTGGTTCACTGAAGGATTGTTTTATCAAGAGCCTCTCCTTTGAGGATTTTAAAATACAGTTTAACAGTAGCTGGAATTGTGTATAAATTCTCAGAAATGCATTATAAATAGGTCCAGTCTAACTTACTATTTGATCGCTTATGTACAAATGGCCCACCCAGTACTCTATAGGAGACTGATTTTTCTCCCCATCCCTGTTCTCCGTTTCTGAGCTAACCCCATGGCATGTCCAAGGTGCAGTTTTTGGCTGTTAAGTGAGTGGCTCTGATGGAGGAATAGGAGGAAGGAAGGAAAAAAGGAAAGGGCAGGAAGTCACTCTCCATCCTGGCCTCTAGGATTAGTCTCATTAGCAACACCATCAGTCCTTTCCATTTCCTTCTCCCCAACCCACTTACCAAGCCTCACTCTGTGCCTCCCCTGAGAGCTCTAGCCCAGCTCTAGCAGTGAAATATCCAAACATTACTTCATTCTTTTTGCATGCACAGTCCTACACTTACACGTATACCTATCCCCCTACATACACAGAGAGAGAGAGAATCTAAGTTGAGAGAAAGCTGATGAGAAAAGCAGTACAGTGTAGAGGTTCAATTGGGGCTTTGAACCGGTTAATTCCAGTTTGCATTTCTACCCCACATATACTGAATCAGATCTACATTTTAACAAGATCCCCAGGTGATTCTTACATATAGTTCTACTAGTGGTTCTCAGAATTGGTCCCTAATCAGCAGCATTAGCATCACCTGGGAACTTGTTAGAAATGCAAATACTCAGCAGGAGTTCAGACTGGAAAGAACCAGTTCAAAACCCTGGTTTCCATGCTTGGACTCTGGACCCAGGCTGCCTGGAATTTAATCTTACCTCTATCACTTATTTCCTATGTATAACCTAGGTCATGTTATGTAATCTCAGTTTCCACTTC